GCATAGTTAGTGAACACTAGTTGGTTGAATTTTCACTGAACTGGCCAGCTATATAGGGGTTAAGTAGATGCCAGTGAGTGTTCTATTGCCCAATAGGTTTGGAATTCATTACCTACAAAATTGAACTTACCACACTTTCCTCTAAATGTGCTTTTCCTTATGTGATAACCAATTACTCTGGTATGCCTGGGACTGAGAGGCTTCCCAGAATGTAGCTCTCTTAGCACTAAAACTGGGAAAGCCCAGACAAACCCAGATAAGTTGACCACCCTACTTTTACTTTTTCTCTTGTCTCCTCTCTCCTCATTAATCATACTTTCACTTACCCAGTCATTCTGGACTTTTCCAGTTCTTTTTCCACATTCAGATTTTCACTGAGTTCCATCAAATATTTCCTCCTTTCCTCTTCTCCAGACTCCTTGTTATTGCCTTGGCTTAAGCGATGTCATGATTTTCCCGAACTATTGAAACAACTGCTAAACTGAACACCCCACTCTAGACTTACTCTCACCACAATCTCCCCATGACCCAGCTGTCAATGATATTTTAAGATGTCTATTCACTTTCTCAAGCCTTCAGTGTTACTTATTACATAAAATCCCAATTTATATACATGAGATAAAAAAGGCTCTCTCTCCGTCATCTGGTTCCTGCCCAAGTCTCCAGGCTCACCCCCACCTGCCTTTCTTCTTGAACTCTATTCTCTAGCCTTTTGGATCCACTTGGAATTTCATGGGGGCACAATACTAATTCACACTTGTATACCTTTGGCTATAATATGTCCTCTTTTAAAAATATCTTTCCCAGTCCTCTTTTCATCTCACAAACAGTGAATTATTTTTAAGACCTAGTTCAAGCATCACATTCCTTTATGAAATCCTCTTACCCCCAAAGTAAAATTGACAACTGTGCATTTTGTGCTAGTCTGTGCCTTGCATACTCATCATGGACCTAAAGACACATGTTACAGTCATTTATTGAGTAGTTACACACATTTATTGAGTATACACACACATATACACATATATAGATAGGTAGATTTAGTGAAGGAAGACTGATTTTATTAATATTTATTTTTAGGCTTTGGTATTAGGTCTGATGCATAACAGACCCTGAAGTGTTGCTGGAGTGAATGAAGAATCTCTGTTGCTACATCATGGGAACTATACTGATACAGCAATGTGATGTGTGTGGTGAGTCTCCAAGCACTTTGATAAGGCCCTTCTCGTATCACCTAGTTGAAACTTTTAGTAGCTATTTACCTGTTTATCATTTTACTATTATGTCATCTCTTTGCTCATAGAGTAACTTCCAGAAGCAAATTTTATGTCCACAAGTTAGGATGGCCATTTTGTATCATTTTTTTCTTATACTGTATTAGTTTTGATTCAAATCTAACAAACCCTTTTGACTGCCCATCCAACATCCATCTCTCTGTGCCACCCCACAGTTTATCCTTCCAAACAGAATCCTCTTCATTACAGGGTTACCTTTCCTCTGCAAGACTGTGTACTTCTGAAAAGGTTGCTTCCCTTCCCAAAGGGGTGGCTCCTGATCAGTCTAAGGCAGTCATAGTGCCCTTATACCCCAAAGCTACCTAAAGATGGTTTGAAGTTCTTGTGATACAATTCTGGCAATGAGATGTAAGATAAGTCTGTTGGAGATCTTTTGGAAAGTTTCCCTCTTACAAGAATGGTACCCAGGAATAAATGGTCTCTTGTTCTCTGGCTGTCATCCTATCTATATGTGACACCTAAAACTACTATGGCCATCTTGTGACATTGAGGGAAGCCAGCATTTAGATGAAGCCAACACTGAGACCAACACAGCAGAAAAATAGAAGGAATCCAATCTGGATGTCATTGTGGAATCTCTGATCCTGCCCCAGCTAGAGCCCTCAGTCTCCTTCTAGACTTATGATTATGTTGCCTGTGGTTGAAGGTTTCATAACTGACACAGACAAGTTTATCATTGTGATCTGAGAGGGCCAGGGCCATTTGTTTAATACGTACCATCTGGTACTTCGAAGGTAAGATAGAAATATGTAAAGTATACTCAGAATAAAGGCAAAAACCAAAATGACCACCTGTGAAGATTCCAGTTCTACCATATTTATCAATAACTATTTTGAATGAATCAATCAATAACTGAAGATTCTGTTGGAGGAATTATAATAAGTGCTTATCAGGAACACAGACTCAAAGCAGTCATAACCTTTTTTCTGTATGAGCTAATGGTGTCATTAGTGAGCTGACTTAAATTACTATACAATAAAGAAGAAAGTAATGGATATTATGGTAGTGGTAATGATCCAAAGTTTTATTCAGCAATTACTATGTACTAGACACTTGTTCTAAGTCCTTCCTAAGAACTTTTATTTGCATCGGCTATATTTTCTCTTTCAAATATTTTCCTCACAGACCACTTCACAGCCTATAAATACTTATATGCCACTACACTTATATAAGTCTCTCTCATTCTGTAAGAGAGAAGAGAAAACCACTACCTTTCCTGGCTTTGCTTTCCTCTCAGGATACCACCATGTTTCCCTTTACAAACTTCCAAGTTTTTTTTTTTTTTATCATTAATAAACACTATTCTTTAGAGCTTTTTTAAGTTCATAAGACAATTGAGAAGAAAGTACAAAGTTCCCATATATCCCTGTCCCCACACATACACAATCTCTCCCACTATCCATACCCCCCCATCACAGTGGTACATTTGCTACAATCCATGAGCCTATGTTGACACATCATTATCACTCAAAGTCCACAGTTTGCATCAGGGCACATTCTTGGTGTTTTACGTTCTGTGTTTGGGCAAATTTAGAATAACAGACATCTGCTGTCACACAGTATAGTTGCACTGCCCTAAAAGTCTCTTGTGCTCTGTCTATTCATCCCTCTGACCCCCTTTACCAAGTGTTTTGAAAAAATAAATACATGACACCTTCCTCTACAAGCCTCTGATTTCTTCACGTCATGTTCCTTCTTTGATCCACTGCACTTATTTTCATTCCCCTCATTATCTGAAACCACCATGAAAAGGTCACCGTTGACCATGGTATTGACAATTCAGTGACTGTACCCGTGCTGGCTACTTCTTTTGTCATCCCTTCTATAGCAACATCATCTATCCAGTTGACCCAAGCCAGAAACCTCCACCTTTACTTGTCTCTCACCTCTCTTCCCCTCTCACTTGTCAATCTTATCATTCTACCTCCAAAATTTGTCTTGTATATGTTTCTCCTGGGAGAAACAACTTGTCCCACCTTAGGCTTCCATCATCTCTCCTCTAGACTACTATAAATACTTCCGAGCTTATTCTCATGTCAACCTACACCCTACAGTTAAAGTCAGAGTAGCTTTCTGAAACGCCATTGTCTCCCTGGCACTCCCTGTTTGAAATATTTTAATAGTATCTCTTTCCTGCAGAATAGCATGTAAACTCCTCAGCTCTGCTCTAAAAGTCTTCACAGTCCTGCAAAGGTGCTCCTTCTCAGTGCCACCCCTAGCCACTCCTCCTCCATGCTCTCTCTTCTACCTAGACCGGAGTAGTCTGGGCCCTGAGCATGCGTACCTCCACCCCTCGGTGACTTTGTATAGTCTGTTCTCTCGGTGTATAATGCCCTCTCTCCCTCGTCCAGGTAGTGAGCTTCTGCTGCAGAGGCACATTGCAAATGTTCCCTGCTTTCCAAAATATCCATCTTTTCATAGCACTTTTCATAGCACATCAAAACTATTGTGCTGTGTTGGTATATTTGTCGATGTGCCTGTTCCCTTTTCTTAAATGTGAGCTTTTGAAACGAGGAACTCTATCTCATTTACCTCAATATCTCTAGTGCCTGGCGCCGTGTTGAGTACTTAGTAAATGTTTGTTGCATTAAGGCTATTGTGATGGAGTGAGCAGAGTGTAATGGGAGCTCTGAGAGGGAACAACTGGCAGGGGGGTTTTATTCATTCATTCATTCATTCAACAGTTAAGTACAAAATGCATATTATGAGCCAAACATTCGCTTAGGCACTGGACATAGTGAACGAACAGAAGAATATCTTACACTCATGGGACACAACATTCTGTTTTAGTGGGAGATGACAGATACAGTGTGTTTGGCAAAAGGCCAGTATCATGAATGAATGAAAGGGATAAGACAGAAGTATGAGGCATAAGGAGTGGTAAGGGCCATTTACAAACTGAGCAGCCCATGACCCACCCAAAAGCATTTACTTAAGATCACATTAAAACATCAATAACAGCAGCTGTGCATGACCTGGCCACTGAATGTATTCGGGGGCCAGATTTAGTCTGTAGCCTACCTCTTTGTGGTCCCTGTTGCAGAGGCATCTTTGTTCCAGATCTTGTTCCTTGAAAAAAGCAGGGAGAGGCAGTAGATCCTTGAATGCTGGCAGAATATCCTGATTAATTTGACTGCAGTCTGCCTTAATAACAGCACCTCACTTTGTCTTAGCCTCTTTATCCTATGCTTATAGCTTAATTTTTTTCAACAGCCACAAAGCTGTCCTGAGAAATAGTCCACTTGCATTCCTTGGAAAGAATACCCTTGTACTTGGAGATCAAAAGCCCAGCAGTAAGAGCACCAAGGGGCAAAAAGAGCATGGCCTCTCTCATACCACATTCAGAAGCTTGGGTGTATTAAAACAACTTCTGCAAGCATCCTTTTTAGGGGATAGGAGAACAAAGAAGTGTGCCATTAGTATGTGTGGGTATGACTAGATGGCAGAAAAATAAACTTCGTAATATTTTAAAGTTGAAAAGGCACTTTTAAGGAACTCTAAATTAACCCTTTCCTTTTACAGACAGGGAAACTGAAGCTCAGGAATTAGTAACTTACCCAAAGTTGTGCACCTGGGGTATATTAAAACAGTATGAACAGTTGACCATCTACTTCTGCCCTGTGTTAGCAGCCAAGGGTTTTAAGCAGTACAGATAGATTGAAGGCTCTGACCAGCAAACCATAGGTGTTTTTCCAAATTTCTGTGATCTAAATGGCCAGCTCTTAATGGGGTGTCATCCTTGCGCAGGGGCCATGCTAATCTTCTCTGTATCGTTCCAATTTTAGTATATGTGCTGCCGAAGCGAGCACAGCCAGCTCTTAATGGGGAAGAGATCTATGATAGAGGTAGCTGGAGATGGATTATAGTTGATAGAAGATGTGAGGATGGTGCATGTTTTACTCCAGCCAGAAAATTAAAGCAAGAGGTTTGCAGAATTATAAGTTCTGATAGTGTGTGGGAGAATAGTACTGTTTATCTATTAAATGATTTATTCATCCAATTTATCTATTAAATTATTCATTCATTCATTCATTCATTCACTCAGAAATGTTGAACCCTTCCTATTACTTACTTCTGAACTAAGTGCTGTGGAAGACATAATATAGTAGAATGCTCCTCCTTCCCTGGGCTCAAAGAGCTCACAGTCCCACAGAGAAGCCAGATGTGCAAGCCAAGTCATCACAATGTTTTGTGCCATGTGAACATGTATGTTGTTCCTGAATAAAGGGAAACCTACCTGAGCGCTGAAGGCAATTTGCTCTAAGTCAAGTGCTGTATTAAAAATACTATTGCACCCTCCCTAGTCATCCTAATAATGCTGCCTGTGCACTAATAATCCTCTGAAGAATCTTTCTCCATCAAGTAAAATTAACCTGCTTAGAAGAGATTATGAAGAGGTTTTCTGCTTCTTTTGAAGTTACAGTACTTGCCAAGTGATGTACCCTGTGTGTCTGTGACACTGTTCCCAGAAGGACCAAGGCCCCTGAGTCATAAAATGGCAGTCATTCTCTGCAGCCATTGGCTCCCGAGGAGCAGGCATTTCCATCTATCTGCAAAAGGAAGAAGAATTAGCCGCCTGCTTGAATCAACCGTATGTGTGTTGGTTAGGAGTTGTTATGAGACGTACCCCTGACAAGAGCTGAGTTGCCCAGCCAGCTTCCCTTTATCAGATGGGCCAGTGCCAATCATCATTGTTCTTGCAAGGTGATAGCAGGAGTTGTTCCCCGTTAGAAGATGGTGGCATTCTGGCAGGGTCACCATGGTGTTAAGATGCATAGCATTTGTCAGGTTTGCCTAGGACTTCTGGAGGTTTAGTTATGAAACTTGTTAATTGAGCTATAAATATAGCTGCAGCCTTTGCCTTCCAGTAAGGCAGTGTGTTAATTTGGGTTTGGCAGGGGGATGGTGCAAGCTGCCAATGTTATGTTAGGATTAGTAACGTGCAGTACATTTTAACTCCACTTCCCCATGTGCCATGCTTTCCTCCTCTGTTTGTTATCTTTCTGAGGGAAGAGAGAAGAGAAAGCAAGCTCATCATCATGGGCATCTTACATTAGGGATATTTATCTGCAGACCTGCTTTTCACCTTACAAGTCTTCAAGTGGAGAGAGTTTGAAAGATAAATGAAGAAAACCATGTGCACCACAGCGGAGGGCTCAGACACAGCCTTCTGCCCTGAGATTAGAGTAACTACGGTTGCCAACAGTGGGATGTTTGCTCTTACTTCCCCATCGTCCCCCACCCCAACCGCTCTCTATAGTTTTAGTGCCTTAAGGTGAATGTGATAATAACAAATACATGTTCTACACAATCAAAATATGTTCTCCCTCCTTTTTACACACATAAAATTACATGTGGAATAGAGTAGGTTTGTTCGCTTGTTTCTTCTTCAAATACTTATGAAAGGGTAAACGTATCACTTGCTCATCTCACTGAGAAAAAAAGTGCATGGATTTTAAACTGTACATAAAACAACCTTGGCTGTGTGGTTTATGCTCATAGGGGAAAGGAAAGGGTGCTGCAGAAGCAGTCGTACCATGCCTGCTTAGAGATCCTTGGTAAGTATTAGTGAATGAATGAATGAATGAATGAATCGGTGAGTCTCAAGTAAGTGGAGTTTTGAAAGCGTGGTTTTTGTAGATTATCCAGTCTACCATGTCTGCTTTCTTTTCTTAAAACACATCAGTGACCTGGAAATAGGTTGGCAAAAGTGGGAATTCTGTTTGTTGGCAGTGTGGTAGAGGAAAGAACTCACTTCCAGCTAAGTAGTATCAGACATTTAATTTTTTTTTTTTTTCTGAAGCACCTGGCTTGAGTAGAAATATGAAAGAATGTAGAAGTCTAACATCCGTGAGGGTCTCTCTGGAGACAGTGCTGATTGCATTTCCCTGGTTATGAAATGTTAAAGAGAGATCAGCTTGAACTGATTCTAAATATTCTAGATATGCAAAGACTATCTAAATATTCTTTGTTTTTCATTTTGCTCTCCCCTTCATGGGCATGTCTCTTACCTCTGATAAGCAGAAATTTCCATTCCTTTTTGTTGTTTGTTTGTTTGTTTATTTAGAGTCCTGTGGTTTTCTTTTTTCTTGGGTTGAACTCTAGAAGTGAAGATGTTATATCATGGGTGCAGAAATCTGCTCAACTCTAATGAGGATGGTGTTAATTTTTTGCTGTTGTTTTTTATAATGAAACTGTAGCCTGCCTCGACTACACCAGCTGTTAATTGTATTTTCCTTAAGTCCTTTTGATACTCATTTGAGATGCATTTTATAACCCATCTGGTAACCTTGCTGCTAACCGACAATTATAGTCTGACATCTGAATACAAAAGAACTTGGGACAGGCCACAGTTGTACATGGAAACTTTTAAAACAATGTCTCCCTTAATATATTCTTTACTAAAAAACATTGTGAAGAAATGATTATAGCCTCACTAAATTCTGACATGCTAAAAAAATTGCTGTTCATTCTTTGGAAATTTGTACCAACTTAGTGATTGGGAAATTGAGAGAATAATAATAATAATAATAATAATAATAATAATAATAATAAAGCACAGACTATGCCAGGAAGCCAACCTTTCCTCTGCTTCACCCCATTCACAAGCTTGACACAGCCTGGACTAATATTAATGCCAACAGTTTGAGGTGGACAGAGAGTGGGTGCTACTCACATTGTAGTTACTTTGGAGACTGAAGAGTCTGGAATCAAACTGATAGGATTATTAGAGTCTGAAGCGGGGCTGCCATGGGCAGTTGTGGGGTTTTGTACTTAGGCACTAGGCTGAGTAGGCAAGTGTGGGCTGGAATCTAGCCCTGATACTGCTTGCCAAGCTATGTGCCCCAGCCTGGAGCTGATCGGCCGGGAGGAAAGGGCCTTTCTGCAATTCATCTGCCAGGGTGGAGTGCCTTTTTGTAACTCACACAAAGATGCACTGTGTGCTAAAGGTGGTTTTGGCTGGAAATAACTGTCGAGGGGGAATCCTGTCTTCTCCACTGCTATTTTGTATCTTAAACTCTCCTGGGTTCTAATAGTCCTTTCATTCAAGCCCCCTTCCCCCATCTCCACTGTGGGAGGAGGAGTGAATTATACAGCTGGGGCATCTGGAAGGAGATTCTAAGCCTGGGTAACTCTGCCCCATTCTGCTTGATGTCTTTTTAGGGAACCGGCTACCTGCACATCCTACAGGGGGATGTGGTGGTAAAGAGAAGAGGGAAGAAAGGCCTGACCCAGTCCAGTGTCTCCAATTCCAGGAAGCCCTCTTGCCCATTTTCCCCAACCTTGCTTTATTCAGTAAGAAAGTTCTAATTTGCACCACCCCCCACCATGGCTCACTCTTTTGTCTTCATTTTTCAGTTGGTTCAGAATTCAGGAAGAGGGGTGCTATTTATTGGGCTCCCAACAGGATCTTATAGACCATACAATTCCCCATTTCCCTCCACACCCATACTTATAAGAGAATTGTTCTATCCAGCAAAAGCCATGAACTGGTGGGCTCTTGGCCAGATCCAGCCTACATCATGTTTTGTTTGGCCCACAGAGTATCTTTTGGAAATAATTGCACAAACATTTAAAAATGGGAGATTGCATGTCCACATCAAGATTTCTGGCCCTTCTTAAAAAATAAAAATGGAAAAGCTGTCCACATTAAGCCAGCCTCCCCACATGGCAATAATCAGCTAGCATTGTACTCCCTTTTCCACAAGGCACACTCTCCAACTTTCCTTTGTCCCCTCCACTTTCCATTGGCTCCTGGGCTGAGGCTGGGTGTCAGCTATCTATCTATCATACTCTTACATAGTTTTGTTTTGTGTTGAATTAAATGAGTGTCCCTTTATTCTTATGTCCCTTTTAAAAGTTGATGGGAAAGGCTCCATTACTGAAGACACGGGAGAGAGCAAATGTCTTTATGGAACCATAGATTATTTCCATATGTTTAATGTATATTTTTTTCCTGGATGATTCACACATTATGCTACCTGCCTGGCTCCTATAGTCAGTTTGGATTGCTGTAACATTTTTTTAGCTTTAGTTTTTTTTTAGTCTTTATGTTTCTTTCAAAATATAACCAATGAAAAAGACTTTGCTGCTTTCTTAGCCAATTCATTCTACTACATGGAAGCTCTTCCTTATCTTAAGCTGGTACCTGTCCCCTGCACTTTGCACATGATAATATTGGCTCAGCCATCTGGTGTCAAGTAAACAAATATCCTGCTGGAAGTTCTTAGAATTGTTCACTAATATTTCTTGTTCTCCTGGATGTGGCAGAATTTTAGTTCCTCCAAACCCTTGAAGTTCTTGACTGATGAACCCCTGCTTCCTCTTGGCAGTTTTCACGTTTGAAGGTCATTCCTTTGTCTTCATTTTTGTTTCCTGGGATAAAATTCCATTTAGCACATGCTTATATGATCTCTAAATATGTGACAATGTCCCTTTCCACTCAATTGTAAGAAAACCTCTCTTAAAATAAATATTCCTATGGTCAACTCTGACAACAGCTGCAGAACACTACAGAACAGAGTGAAATCTACCTCAAGACCAGGAAAAGGACAATGTGACCCATTCCTTATTTAAGATAGTGTCACATTGGGCCTGTTTGCTATTTTATCTGTTGCATAGCCGTGAGTTTTTCTCTGATAGGGGCACCAAGAAACATGTCTTGGAGAGCACAGTTGCCATCCAAGGCTGGGGAAAAGTATGAGTATTCTTCAAACCTTCCGTTGAGTTCCTGCCATGCTTGAATGTATCCAAATTCTCCTTGGCTTTGCTGGAGTGTTTCACTTTTATCTGTAAGCCTAGACTTACTTGGGGAGAATGAGCTCCAAAGTTTACTGACTAGTTTATAAACAGGTTCATAATCCCTTTGTTGGTGCAGAACAACATCTTCCAAATTTCAGGAGATAGTCTCTGGTTCTAGTACTCTGATCATTTTTCTGACTTGAACTGAGTAACCTTTGATTTCCTGGTCCTACCAACAAAAGACTGTCTTTTCCATTTGGGGGCTCTTAACAATTTTTAAACATTTTCAATAATTCATCAGAATTGAAATAATAGGTAATATATTGCAGTTTTAAAATAAATGCACATACATACATACATATATCTTCTTGTCAAAGTTAGTGTCTCCTTTTGTTTCTGCCTGAATGTGTGTTTAGATTGTATAAAGAGTGACAAGGAGCAATTAAATGGGAACTACAAAGAAGAAATAAAATCCCCATTGCTTTTCCCTATAAACCTGACAGCCTCTCATGTCTCCCTTGCCCTTATTCAGGGAATCTCTCCTAATGGAGAGATGAGGGCTGAAGATTCTAAAAGTCAAAGTAAAGCACTGGCTCATCACAGATGTTCCACCTACTGATTAGAACTTGGGGCAAGGTACAATAGAAAGAACTTGGAATTCTGCAATAAGAACTAAGAAAGCTCCAGCTCTGAAGGTGATTAAGCCATTTGGCAGGTCTAAGCCTCATACTTTCCTGGTTTGTAAATCTTTTACTCTACCGACTTCCTTGAGATAATATGAGAGTCAGATTCAGTATGGGAATATCCCTTTCAAGTGGACTGCTCTGAATGTGCTCAGTTGTTTTTATTACTGTTCTTCCAGGCTGTGTGGCAAGTAGAGGCATATTTTGTAGGAAGGGATAAGTTTCCCAGAAATGTTTTGAGTGGCCCCAGTTGTCCTTCCACCCCTGCCATTTCTCCCTCCATAGCCCTTTAAAAGACACAACCCAAAAGAGTAATAGTGAGGCTTGTTTCCTGTACCAGGTAATATTCACTGTTATCCCTGCTTCAAATTGAAGCCCCAAAGGAATTCAGTATCCCTGTATTCCTCCCTGGGTTTTTTGCTGAGTTTACGTGGGAAGTCCCTGAAGTCACAGGCCCTAGAAAAGCTAATGTCTAAAATGGAGAGATTATATTGTATTTAGGGACTATATTGTATTGGGTGGAGCTCAGACATTGGACTTCTCTGGCATGGTGTACCTCAGTGGGAGGACCATGGCACCAAGGTGCTAGAGGGGTTACGGAAAGGGTCCAAGAGTGCTGTGGGAAAGGGAGGTTTTCAAAAGCTGACCACTTCACCAGAATCTCTTTTCTCCTTTCTTCGTAGTAGTATGTGTCATTTCATCCCATCTCCCACTTCTGTCCCTAGGAATAAGTTGTTTTTTTTTTTTTTTTTATCAGACAAGCATGATTTAAGGATCCTGAGTACAATCCTGATACCTGGGCATTTGGTCAGTCCTATTTTCTTAAGGGACCAGCCATTTTCCAGTTTATTTGCTGGATACTTGGAAGTTTCCAGTGTGTTGCTTTTAAGTGGCTTAGAACATCCACTTTTAGGGCCATGTAGAAATATACTTTTCTGCCAAGGTTTGGTTTCTGAGGTGGGAATGCCTGTAAATTATTGCTGCCTTCTTATTTCTCATTTTTAAAAACTGAGAATTATTTTGAAGCAGACCAACTATGTTGTGGACTGAACTGGTAAAGGAAAAAGAAAGAGGGTTTCAGGTAATCCAGTCAGTCCTTTCTGGGAGAGCAGAAAACGGGGGTATAAATGAATCAACAGATATTACCCTTTTATGTGTGCCCCCATCTTAAGTGTATTCGGTGTAATAAGAATATGTAAGCTAGAGGGGAAGACTTTGTGATCTATGCCTCAGATTTATTTCTACTCCCTGGAGTCACTGCTTCACTAACCTTGCTCTGCCCCACATCATCCTTCATCCTTCCAAAGTAAATAAATGGAGTTCTCTTCAGCTTTTTTTTGTCTTAATTAGCTATCAAAATTTGAGGTGTCACCCAGACTTTGAAGGCCCCTCTGACACTGTCTTAAGAATGTGGGGGTCGCCCCACTGTCCTTGACCAACTTGCCCCTCTTCCATCAGCGGTTGCCAAGATATATACAGCCACACACACGTTTTCTGCCTGGCTCCCACTGCCAGTTCCAGAGATGGCGGAGCTCCTGGCCTCTGTTTGTATATAGAGCTGTCTGAAATGCATTCGGGATCTCTTGAGGTGAAAAGAGTTATATAAACAGAGAATGTTATTATGGATTCTTACTACAGATGGAAATGACTGGGTATTCTCAAAATAAATAACATTTCACATTTTTATAGATATGTAACATAATATGCATGTGTGTGTATGTGTATTTATATTCTTTCCATCTTGAATACACAGCCTCTCCTTCCTCAGCACTTGGATAAGCCATTCATTTTGCCTCCTGCTTTTTTGATTCTCTTCTTAAGAATTCATTTAATTGTTGCCAGCGTTTGGGGAGTGAGGATGAAGCGGTTATAGGCTTCCTGCTAGCTCCCACCAGATAAGCCTGCCGTGGCTATAGCAGTTAGGAGAGCTGAATGCTGAAAACACTTAAGTTCTGTTTTTCCACTTCCCTTCTAAAGAGAGATCAATCAGCTTGTGGCTCAGCATAATTACAAATGGAAACTTCCTAGAAGAGGTGCCCAGAGTTGGAGGATTCAATGTAAGGCACCTAGATTCAGAAGTTGCTTGTTTAGATATTTTGGGTGTCCCCCTCCTCTTTTTATTGAATCTGCATGTTTATTTTCTTTGAATTCTAGAGGGCAAGGCATGCTATGTCTCATTTACATTGACCTACTCTCAGTAAAACAAACAAGTGAACGTAGGTAAACGAATGATAGGATTATCACTTTCATAATGGTGCCATTCCCACAAGGAAAATCTTGAGTTTTGGGACCCTGTGCCTGGGGTTTGCAGAAATGAGCAAAGATGCCAGAGATTTATCCTGAGCCAGGGAGGAGGAAGATTGGCATACACAAGTCCAGGCAACACAAGGCGGACAACAGCTGGCTTTGCCAGCTCCACCTGGCTCCAATAAAGGACTGGCTAGCGTCCTTGGCAGTGGCTGGTGGGAGAGGCAGACAGAAGCCAACTGCCCCGAGGCTGGCCAGTTCTGGTGGAAGGAGGTGGAAGATGGAGAGGTAGCTGGGTGAGAGGGCCTCAGGCCCTCAGTATGGTGCTGAGAGAATGGCTGACTTGGGGGAATTCAGGCCAATTAGAGAGTGATCCTTTCACACTCAGCCATCTGGAGATGCCTGCAAGGGGACTGACTCTCCTCAGAGATAACGTCCAAATTTTAAGAGGATTTAATGAAATTTTAAACTAAGATTTACTGAATGCCTCATACATGAACAGGTTCTTCAATAGGCGCTGTGGTCAATAATAAGAATGATCACAATAGTGGTAAGAACAAGATGATAATGATAATCGCTAGCCTTTAATGAGCACTTAATAAGTGCCAGATTCTGTTAGCCTCACCATCTTACTCACAATCTTCCATAATGTAGGTCTCATTGTCATCATCACCCTCGTTTTACAAGAAGGAAACCAAGATTTAGGGAGTTTAAGTAGTATCCCCGGAGTCATAGAATTAGGTGATAGCTGGGATTGGCACCCAAGCAGTCCAACTCTTAATCCGAATCCTGCACTATGTGGAAGAATTTATGGTCTGTAGTTAAGGAACTAATAGTCTAGTGAATAAGGTAGGCATGAAAGAAAATACATGGTAATGAAGAAAACAATCCCATAGTAAAGCACTTTACAACAAAACAAATTTAGATATAACATGATTGAATATTGGATTTCATTACTGGCTTCAAACTCACCTGTATTCAAAATTGACTACATAATAACTCCACTTGTATTTTTAAGGTTAAATTTTTTGCACTCCATGCAGAGTGATGTGGAGTGGTGTTACTGTAGAGTAATAGTAATAGTAGCTGATTTGTATAGTATACTGATAGCAACTGATTTTCATTGGCCATGTACCATGAAGTCATTAATTCTAGTTCTTATAACCATCAATGAAAAGTAAATAATGTTATCCCTGAGGTACAGGCCATGGAGCCTAAATGATCTGTTTAAAGTTCAGAGTTAGTAAAGTGGCAGAGCTGGGATCAGAATGGAGACAGAATGATACCAACCCAATGCTTTCTTCACTATGCCATTCATATTGCCGGTCTTCAATAAAGTGGGATGTATGAAAAGACTGCATATGGTACAGTTACACAGGGTAGGAAGCATATTTAATTGTATGGAAGGAGTTTTCATAGGAAAGAGGAAGCTGACATTTACTGAGTTCTTCCTATGTGCCAGTCACTGAACTGAACACTTAGCATGTATTCTTTCATTTAATTTTGTAAAAGCCAAGTCAGGAATTTATAGATGAATAGGAATTTTCCAAAGAAACTGTGGGGAGATGTGGCTATTCCAAGCAGAGTGAATAGTATGGGAAGTGTAGAAGCATGAAATATGGTGTGATTGTGGGCATTAAAATCATTTTGGTATTATGAAAGCATAGAGTACAGTACAGAAGTGGAGTGTGTCAGGGGCACCTGGGTGGCTCAGTCGGTTAAGCATCCCACTTTTGATTTCGGCTCAGGTCATGATCCTCAGGGTCATGAGATCGAGCCCCGTGTTAGTCACCACACTCAGCGGGGTGTCTGTTTGAGATTCATCTCTCTGCCCCTCCCCGCCACTTGTGTGCACGTGAGTGTGTTCTCTCTCTTTCTCTAAAATAAATAAATCTTTAAAAAAAAAAGTGGAGTGTTTTAGTGTGGGGGGATGGAAGATGGTGGTGACCAAAGATGATGTTGTAAAGATAGAACTCCAGTGACACTGAAGAGGTTCTCGGACGAAGGAACATAGGTCTTTTCCTATAGATACCAGGTAGCAAGGTGAAGGGAGAAACAAATCTAGGTAAATATTTAATTTTCCTAAAAAATCTTGAAAAGTAAAGCAATTATCCCATTTCTCTTAAGCCAAAAAGAAAACAAGTTCACATAGAAAGATGAAGGAATTTATCCAAAATCATGCAGTTTGTAAATGGCAGACCTGGGCTTTGAACCCACTTTTATTTTTTTGGCTCAAAAACCACATTTGTTTTATACTGAGTTGTTGTTGCTTGAAGTAGCTTGGTTCCAGAGATTGGGAAGGAAATGAACAAAAGAAGATGGACAGAGTAAGTGCTCAGCAGCTTCAGACACGCTCATCCAAGATTGTCCTGTTACCAAAATTAATTTATTTCTTCTTACAGATTTGTATTAAAATTCCCAATAATTACCCTTGCCACCATGGATTTTTAAAAATGTTAGTCAAGAAAGGCAATGTTGTAAGATGGAGTCACACAAGAGTATGAAGGAAATGACCACTTCAAATAAAGATGGAGCTTCTCTAACTTTTTTCACTAGCTTGGTTGCCACTGTTTAAGTTTAGAAAGTAGGGCAGCCAAGAATTGCTGGTGCTGGTCGTGCATGCACAACGACACCCAATGAGGACAAAAATCTTACTAGCAGTCTATTTGCCTAGTCCCAACACTGAGCTGTCTCCATCTGGAGGAAAGGATCCATTTTTCTACCCATACAAAAGTGCCATATGGGTTAGCAGAAGCCACCCTCAGGAAAGAAGGAAGCATTAATAAATTGGCAGTTCTCGTCAAAAGTTTGATTTAGTATCCACAATTTAGATCAGAAAGCACCACTGTAACAATTGTTTGCATAATATGCATAAATGGTAACATTTAACTTCAAATTTAATGGTGCTTTCAACCTCTACTCCAGGTTGTTGTTAACCTTCCCATGAGTTTGATGTTCTTGATTGACACCGCATGTTGTTTTGCTTGGTTTTGTGTTTGCTTTTATTTTGTCCTAACAAGAATGGAAAGAGCTGTGGTACAGGGGTCAGAGAATTCACTTTTCTATTCAGTAGTTTGCTGAACATTGCCATGTTGTTTACTTTCTCAGAACTCCATTTTCCCTAGCTTTGAATTGTGCCTGACGATACCTACTCCACAAGGGTGTTTAATGGGTAGTGCCTGGATTGGAAATAAGTGCCAAAAAGTGGTCATAGTTAATCTGATTATCCATGTGCTACATACTAGTAGTCAAGATAACACAGGCACATCTTCACCCAGCCTGGCTTGGAACTGCTATCACTCCAGATCCCTGAAGTGACAGGTTTACTCCAGGGAAAAATAATGGATTATGGATTCAAAATAGGGAGTTGTGAGGGGATGCAAGGGCCAGTCTTCCAGGTGGCCTGACTCCGTACCACCTATGGTTTATATTTTTTTGCTAGCCACTCTTTAAACCTTTCTCTGGTAGAAATCCAATTCATCATGGCACTATTTTATTAATATAAGATGGGATGTATAAAGCTACACATTAATTTTACATATAATATGTATTTAGATTATACATTAATATAAGTATCTGTATTGTCTCCTTCAAGTCTTTTGCTCAAACATACCTTCTCAGTCTATCATGATCACTCAGAATAAAATCCACCTTCCTCATAGCACACCTTCTCCTCCTTTCCTACTTTATTTTTGCATCTCCTCATTATTTATTACCCTCTAACATGCTACTTCCTTGTTATTTTTTTCCTTTTCCCCCCCTCACATACCAGAATATATGCCCTATGAGAACAAAGATTGTGTTCTTTGTTTTAATATGCTTTTCCCGGCACCAAAAATCTGGTAAGAGATCAATTTGAAAAAGGAAATTATATTATTGTTGCTTTTCTGCCCTAATTTCCAGGATCTGAGAGCTTATTTTAAATAAACTTGTCAATAAAATGATTTTTCTATTGGTAGTTAAGATACAACTCCAGACATAGAAGCTCTAATTAGCATACTCAAAAATTTTACTTGGCCCATCATTTATTAAAACCAAAGTAATTTCCCAATTGTCCAGAGTGATACATTTTCCCTTGGGATAAGAGTAGGAGGTTGCTTTTCTCTATTTCATAGAATGAAATAAAATTTAAAAGTATGTCTTCCATCTGTGCTTTTCTTCCCCACAGTATTAGAGACTTCTAAGATTGTAATGTCAATCTGAGGTATTACCCAATAGATAGTAATTAAAGACTTAAATCTTGACACAAACAATGCAGAGATATTGCTCTGAAAGGGTAAAGAAAAAATGAAGTCCATCTGCTCCAAATCTCTCAATGTGAAAATACTTGTTTATAAATTGTGAGGTCCATATATATGTGTGTGTGAGTGTATGTTGCTTTTTCAGTAATGGTTATTTCAAGCGAGTGAAGAGCTTTACTTTTGTCATCTATGCATAACATTTGTATGAAAATAATGAGACTTTTTGGTGACTTAATTGATCCACTGAATTTTCAGATGCTAGTTAAATAGTTAAGGCAGATGAGGTGACAAAGATTTAAAAAAAAAAATTTTAATAATGGAAACAAACAAATTGCAGTATGTTTGTGTAAAGGAATCAATTTAACAGGATAACATACAGATATGTGTGAATTGAGGGGGAAGACGGGAAGCTTTCTTATAGGGAAATATAAAATGGTACATAATTCAAGATCACAGACAGCTTAATCACATAAATATAAATAGAGACAACCCATTTTATTTGTTGCCTTCTTGCTTTTATATTTTATCCTGTAACTTTATTTTGTTTAACAAACAGTGATTTTTCTTTCTCTCTCCTTGAGTCAGTATTTTTCATTCCTGAGTTTTGGCGAGGGGGTGAGGGGGGCTTGGAAGAGGCTTAAAACATCAGTAAGAAAATACGAAGGACTGAGCTGTCTTGGTCTGCAGGTTGTAACCTGTGTTTATTGTTTTTTTAAGGGGTTAAGATACAACTGCTGTGGCATCCAGAAAAAAGAAAGCATACTGGCTGATTCTTGTGTGTAAGAAGCATTTCAGCCTAAGCTTAGTGAACTTCCTGGAATGCTCCCTTTGGCTGATGGAAGCTGAGCTTGTGTTGTAAGCAGTGCATATTATTGTATAAAATTTACTGCAAAGGGGAGTGATATGAATAGAGAATGTATACAGTAGCTTACTGCATGCTAGCAGGTCTTTTCTGGGCTCCTAAATGTTAACTGGATAGTAATGTAAGTTATTACACTCATTAAATTAGGCCACAAACAAGTCAACAGTGATTCAGCAAAATGGCTTTGTTTGTATAGTGCAAGGAAGTCTGATAGATATCCAGTCACACATTTATGGCTAAATGGATGAAGATTTTAACATTACAGCCTAATAAAAACCCCATACTGTGTGATTAAATAAGAGGGAAAGCAGTAAAAAAGAGAACGCGTAATGACGGTAACATGTAGGTCAGTTACAATTTAATTGTCATTGCACTTCATTGCTAACATATCAATTCTCTGCTGCTTAGCTGAGCAGAAAACAACAACTTAACATGTACACTGGGCCCACTGACGAGTCGTCAAACCCCCACTTCCATCACCTGCTTTTGACTACTTTTAACAACCACATGAAGTCTTCCTGCTTTAATAGGATAATCTCGCTGAAAGCTCCTGCTGACTATTTCTTCCCATGCTCAATGCATCAATGATCAGTAAATTTACTTCACACTCTACATAGATGCTAAAATTAGATTGTTTGCATTACAACTTTCAATACTTCTGCAACAAGAAACACCTGCCTGCAGATTTATATTGTTTTGTTTAATGGCTTAAAATAAAGATAGCCTCACAGTGGCGATACCTTGATGTACTATATCAGAGGCGCACAATGGCTGATCATTTTTCTTACTTATCCAATTTGTACTGTATTTCTTGCCATATAAGGTATAGCTTCATTATCATTAATTGCAGCTTTAGAAAAACCAAGGAAGTATTTATTCTTGCCAACTTTGCTACAATTTTACTTATTCAGTGCAACTAAGAAAGGGAGGGAGGTAAAAAAGCACTGTATATTTAACTTTTTTCCCCCTGAATCTGGATAATTCACACAGATCTCAAAGGGGCTTTGGCACCTTTTTAAAATGTTAGCTCTAAAGAATTGTCTGTCTAGCACACTTATGCTGATCTATAGTAAAGACTTAACCGCGTACATAACTGAACTATTAATTCAGGTGCCTAAGGTGACATTTTTTATCCAGCTTAGCGTAGTCTATTCCATATAGAATAGAGTACAGCTCCTGGTAGAAAAAAATGATCCAGCAGAAGGTAGATAACTTTATTAGAATGATTAGAAACATCAACAGTTTTTTTTTTCTTTTTCCAAATCTTATTTTAATTCAGATTTCTGGGCATCGGGCCCATAGATTCCAAATGGCGCTAGTGTACATTACTGGCAGATTTTCTTTCTTTTGCACCTTACCTACCTAGATAGAATTATGTGTCATCTAAGGGCAAGAATAAGGGCCTGGTGTTCAAGATCACGATCAAGCAAAGTGAAAACCTCAGGAAAAAGTTCTACTCCCACATTGATGTCTACAGGCAGTCTCTAAGCAGTGAGAGTTAGTAGGTGTGTCTTGAATATTTAGGAAGGGCCTTGTGGTTACCTCCAAGACAGTTTATGAATCCCCATTCTGATTTAAGGATCAGAGATGGATAGATACAAATCCAAGGCTGTAATCATTAAGAAGACATTTATAATAATCACCTTTTTGTGTTCATTTCTTTCTCCTTTATTCACTATGGAATAGGAACTCCTTTCTCTGAGTTCAACCAGGGAGAAGACCAAAGTAGTACAGTACTTTTGGTTTCCATGGTGCTACTTATAAAGATTATGCAAAGTGCTTAATGAATAAGTAACTCTTCTCAACACTTTGCAGATGAGACACTTAAGAGATTTGGACAAAAATAACAATATGAATAAAAAGTTAGCTGTGGTGCTCCAAATGCCTGATTTTCTGCATATATCCCAGTCTACTCAACTGCACCAAAAGAGTGACTTATCTTCTGTTGGTATTATTCTTTGACATCGTTCTGATAATCAGTACAGGTCAAACTGGTTCCTCTGGCATGGTCAGCTTTCTTACCATCTTGGATAGTCATGTCTAGTGGAATTGATGACACTCATTCCCATCTAGGAAACGACTACTGGTGATAAGCAGAAATGGCTTGACATGCCACAGATATTCCAACAACTGAGGCAGAAGACTGAGGAAGACCTATCATCTCAGAACTATCCAAACAGATTTTTTATTGGTAAGGGTTTTTTATCTTTTTATTTTAACTCATTTGTTGAGTGTTCATATACATTTCTCTCTGTCCCTGTTAGAAATAAATTGTAAGTAAAAGACTCATTTTTACAAGTAACATATATTATTCAGGGGGGATAAATGCATTGATTTTTCCATAAAAATGAACCCTGTAGATTTACAAGTTCCTGGCTAGCTAAATACAGAAATGTGGTAAATTCAAATTCACAACAATGGATTTAACCACATTATCATCCAAATCATCCATTTAACCATATTTTAACCTATCTGAAAGTAGCTGGAAGAAGGGCTGGGGGAAACAGTTTTCAGGTGTTTTTAGAAATTTATGAATCATAGTTCCTACTTGTCTAATTTTTTAAAACTTGACCAAAATGCCATGTTCATTTTATCTTTAAATCAAAGAGAACTTGGCAAATTTCCTAATGACAAAGTCCATTCAATGACTTGAAGCATTGATTCATCACCCAGAATATTAACTATTTCGATTTTTTTATGTTACCAAGCTGCTTTAAATGTTAAAACCAATCAGTGTTCTCTGGGGCCGTTTTAGAGTTGTCTCTCTCAAAGCAGCAGGAGACCAGGCTTGGAATGAGGGAGCCAGAGCCCCACCATACCTCTTGTGTGTATGTGCCTGTGCATGCGTGCGTGTGCATCTTGGGGAACATGTGTGTGCCTGACGCTAGTGTAATGCTTGATTTGGCAAGATGGACTTCTACTTTCTCCAACAGCTGCCTTTTATAAGCTTATCTGAGACCCTGACACAATTTTTGGAAGCTCATTAGACTTAAGAGTGATTGCAAATGAAAGACAACGCACGGTTACTGACATTCATGCCTGCTTTTTAAATCTCGTGCTGTATTGTTGGAGATCTTGATTTCACACTCAGATGCTTAACCCCACATTAATATGTGTCTTCTTCCCCAAGATGAACACAGTTGCCTTCCCTGTCTGGCATTATCATTCCCCGCCAACAAAATGGATTGCAGGAAACTGGGGGCGGGCAGAGGGGGGGGAGAGGCGGGGAGAACAACAATAATATCTCAAAACTTAGCCATGATTTTTCAGTTTATTCTTTAATGCAATACCTAATTTTGCATGCCTACTATGTAAAACCCTGTACCAACCAAGCACCATGTAGATTCTTCTTGTGAGTTGGGTTCTCAAATAAAATGGCAGAGATTTTCATCTCCCTAGGGTCATGCCAAAAGTCTATTTCTTTTTATCTTTCCTATTAAATTATGTTTACCTGAATATATCAGGTTCGTTTCACCTAGGCAGGATGTCCCATTAAGCATGACAAGTAGAAGGTTGCAAGATTAATGCCCTTCTTGAGCTTGAATTAGTGTGTCAGCATCTTTCCAGACCTGGGACCAGAGTCTATAGGAAGTATTCCATAATGGACCTTAGCCTCTAACTGAACTGCTCTAATATTATTCCTATAACAAGACTACTTTTAAAGAGCCTCATTATTGGCTTCATTAGATATGTGACTTGCATCAGTGGCTGTAGTTATGTGTATAATATAGGAGAGGTTAACATAGCGTATTTTTTATGTATTATATGGCATACAGCTTGAAGTAGCCAAAAGGTTTATGGCGATGTAATTGGTAGTTAGTGTGAAATTTGTAAGACAAATAGACAATATCTAGGGTAACCCCTCTAATCCTCTTCTTTCAGTTTTTTACAGCCACCAAAGGGCCTCATTAAAACAGCAGTCAGCACCTTAGTGAAAAGATACAGTGCTTGGAGTGCCCAAATGTGACAGAAAATCTGCATTTTGTAAATCTGACACCTTTGATAGATTATACAGTGTGAAGCCATTTCTTCTAAGCGTTATGATAATGCTTAAGGTTCTCTTCTGAATCCAACTTTGCTATATTCACTGACTATAACAATGTGAAAAAGAGCCGATTGAATAAAATGAAGCTTAGAAGGTAGAGAGGAACCTTTTTCTATGACACAAAGCTCTTTGCGCGCAAAGGGGCTGGAAAGCAGCTATTGGCATTTCCAAGGACCCCTTAAGCTTGAGGGTAGCATTCCTTTAATATGAAGATACTGTTTATGACTACGCCAGCATCTCTGTATGTTGGAGGGGGGGGGCACACAACCTGTGGGCTTCCAGGGTGGAGGAAGAGTAGTTTTCTATGCTACTGGGGAAAGATTATTGGCTTTTCATCTATTTTTACAGATTAATGTTTTACAACTGTACCCAGGCTAAGGGAATTAATGAAAACCTTGCTGTTCATTTCACAAAGGAGACTTTTGAAATCTGAGACTTCAGAATGTGGAGGTTCAATGCAAATGATGGAAAACGAGGCAGATCTAGTTTAGTTCTAGGTGGCTGCCACAGCAGAGCAGGCCCTATGAAAGTGCCACTGAGAGTTTTGGCAGTGCTGTTGTACGTCTGCTTAGCCAAGATTGCTTCCCTCCAAACTCTACCCGGAACGTCCCCCAGGCCAGCATGGGTGTTTGCCCCGGTCCCTTCCAATCCATCAAAGTCTAGTCCCCACTTCCCCATTCGGGGAGATTCTAAAGACAACTGACAACAAAGATGGAATCTAAAATTGGAATATCTGTAGAAAAAAATCATAAAAAAATTGTACTATGTGTAAATTTATGTTTTCATTGTAGCTATACGGAAAGAAGGTATAGAACAAAACTTAAGTGGGATTATTCTCTATTTTGGTCCAAGATTAAAGAATATTTACTAATTAAGATAAGACCAAAATGGAAGGGTGACCTCTCTTGAGTCCTTTGTTTCTGCCTGTGATTGAACATTGTCCCTGTGTATATATGTCCAGAAATTCCAACAAAGGGAGAAAAGGCCATTCCTTACCCTCCCAAGCTTTCTGTCTCTCTGGTTAAATGATACTGAAAGGAAATTTTGTTTATAGAAACTTCTAAAAAGATAGACCATTTTGACCATTATGTTTTATGCATTTTAGGACAAGTATAAACGGCTAATAAAGTAGCAGCATATATTTATTAAAAGTTAAAAGTAGAGAGGATGATTAAAAAGCATCTTGAATTATTTATGTTTTTACTCCATACATGACAATAGAGTGTTATATGTGAGCAGCTATCATTCAAATGAAGGAAACATATCTGACCATTGTTCATGTTTTAGAATTGAAAGTCTTCGAGGACAGATTGATAATCAGATTTAAACATGCCAAGGTAATCACCTCTCTTTCCCCTTAAATATACATGGCCATACATGCCTACTGAAATTCCCTTTTCAGTATTTTATGTGTACTCATTTTGAATCTGTTTATTAAAAGGGTTAGTTTTTTTCCCCCACTGTGATAAAAGAAACCAGTTTTCATTTAAATGATTCCATTTCGGTTTTTGCAATTATTAATAATACAGCATACAAAAGAAAACATTTCAATGACAGGAACCTTGAAACGAATCCTTGAGAATTTGGAATGGATATTGCTTTCTCTTACAATAATCTAGGGCCAGTCTCTACTTTTGTTGAATGAGGTAGTTTTGTTTTGTTTTGGTTTAGGGTTTTTTTTGAGGGTCAGAGCTATTAAATTTTAGTGGGTTGCTAGAGGGAGTGGCAGGCCTCTCGGCTGAGAAATCTACTTGAAATTACTCTTTGGGAGAAAAAAAAGGGAGAAAATTGCCTCATCAGACCCATCTTTCAACCAACAAATCCTGCGATTCTCACTGTTCTTAATTGTTGACCCCTACCATCTGTGTCATGCAATGTGGCAGGAACTCTCCCTTCAAATAAAGATCCATGTTACCTCATCAGGATGTACTTGTTAAAAGTGATAATGGTTCACAATCGGTACTTAGCCATGTGAAATACAATATCCTCTCTTAAAATGTGGAGGTTTGAGGCCTAAATTAATACCTTGGTACATAAGTCATTACATTATCTGAAAATCTTTGATTCGAGTGGGAAATATCTGTGAGATGCTTTTGTTATCCAAAGAGTTCAGAATGCAGTATTTATTTAATTTGGGTAAAGAAGTTATTGTGTGATGTCTACTGCTAACTGTTCGGTGTCATTTAGCCCTTTAAAAAACTGCCTTTACATATGTAGTACCGACACTTGAAAATGTATTTAAGGAAATTATATATTTTCTCATCAAATACATTTTTTTTTTAAAATCTGATATATATGTGGCATTAGGTGAGTGGGACTAGACTTAAAAAATCACAACCTTTTATAGTAAATTCTCATACTGCATGTGGCTTGCCTGCCCTGAAAAATGAACTTAAAGGGGCATTGTGAATAGGATGTGTGGGTTTAAAATTCAGTGGATTATTCACATCTGTTAGGTGAGAATTAAAGAGAGCTGAATAATGTATTCTTATGTTTTAGAGCTATCACTGCCAAAGGCTACTGACTAGTAAGTATCAACATCTGTGTTACTTCTTCTTTAGATTTCCTGATTCAATGTGTCTAAACATTTCATTTACTACTGGAATTTTTTAAAGTTGTTTTAAGCCTCTGTTTGATGCACTATTTCATTGAAAGATATTATTAGCAAATATTAGTTAAGGGATTATATGTACAATTAGCCCTAAATAACATTAACCGAATGTTGTGATTCATATTATTGAAAGAACGTCAGACGCTTGAAATGGTAAATAATGGAATAAAAATAAATAAAGGTACCTGTATTTTGACAGTGATATTCCACCTCTGGTTTTCCCATGCGCAAGCGTAAACACGCGCACACACACACACACACTTTCTCTCTCTCTCTCTCTCTCTCTCTCTCACGCACAATCATTCAAATGCCTTTTCTTTCTCTGACAAAAATATTCATTAAAAACATTTCACTGTGCTGCCTTTTAATATAGCACGGGCATTCAACCTGCGCAGGAAGCTTCCTGGAACCGCACAAATACTGTGTAATTATCTGGTGGCTCCCTGCTGGCTGCTGCATATTCCAAGCACAAAGTGAGCAACGCATTTCTAGAGCCTGACTCCTGTCTTCATTGTCCCTGCTTGGAATATGAAGCCTCACTTCATTATAGTAGACCTGATCAAACTTGATAGATTTAGCCATTATTCTTGACTGTGTCAACTTTCCACAGGTTTGTCCCCCCTCCTTGGGCTCTTTTGTTTTGCCACCCAGGGAAGGCAGAATATTCTGAGTCTAGGTTTCTCTCTTCCCCCACTCTTCTTCTCTTTCTTCCCTCCCTCCCCCTCCCCCGCTCTGGGCTCTCTCAGTCCCCCTCCTTCTCCCTCCACCCCATTTCTTTCACCATCTCACCCCCTCTCCCTCTCCCCTCTCCCACCCAAACAAACCAAGGACTCAACAAATAATGTTCCTTCCACATCATGTGACTCAAGGAAAATAAGGCTTGCAATTTTTCTCTCAATTGTCCTCTTTGGTTTTGATTTTTCAGTTACTATAAAAGAATTCTGCAGCAATGTTGACACACAAGGCAGAAATGCTTTGAAAATCCTTTTCTGTTTCCTGTTAGTAGAACAGTAACTTTTGCTCTATGATGTTGTTGTGGTGATGGTTGGGTTTTTGTGTTTTTTTCTTTTTTGGTCTATTTTATGACAACTTTCAACGAGCACTTCAGAGTTCATATTTTCAAGGATCATCCACATCAGTGTATCTTATCCAATTTTATAAACGTCGCAGTGCATTTTCTTTACAAAAGGCATTAGATCATTCTCTAGGCAAATACAGATGTTGATACAACTGGTTTAGCATAACAGATTACTTTGTAGTTTTTGAGAGTTGCTATGCAACAATAGAGAATTATATCCTACTTCTCACAATATTTTAAAGTATCAAGAAAATAATGCAAACTGTATTACCATAATTAGGATCACACTGATCCTTCACACTGTCATGGAACAAGGTAATCAATATGTAAGGTATTTGTTACTGACCTTAAAATACTTATAAGGTCAGTTTATCATTACCCTAGTTAATGAACATTTTGTGGTGAGATTTTATTCCCGGGGTTTTCATTTTTTTCTGTAGTGTATATATCCCTTCGGTGGACCCCAAGCACTGTTTAAAAGCAGAAAATATTGGTTAATGTTAAGGTCTGCTTATTAAGTGCAAATTATTAATACAGTAAAAACTTAAGGAGCTTGGAAAGTCCTCTACTCTCCAGAGTCTCTCCATACTCCAAACCACTCCCACCCCCCCTTTATTATGTTTATTTTTTGAAAGCAAAAGCCAGGCTCCCAATATGATGGCTTTCAACAAGTTTGCTCACAGGATTCTTGTTGTAGCATCTGGTTTTATGCCACAGAAAGAAGGTAAGATGCTAGTATGGCTTGAATTTAATATTATCCTCCTTAAATTAAAAATAAAATAATTATTTTTTAGAGTGGCATTTTCAGTCACACCAAAAGCTTCGCGGCATCTTAAAATGTAAATTGCCGTGAAGCAACACAAAGGAGAAAGGGAAGATTTTGAAGGCAATCGCACTGATCACTTAATTCAGTGGCTGCATATCCACTTGGCATAAGGTAATTAGAGTGCCACATTGCTGTAAAGACAGAAAGCTTAGGGTCCCATTCTGACTCACCCAGACGATAATACATGATTAGAAGTCAGTGACAGATCACAACTGCTGAATGACCCACCAAGGTCTTATCAAGGGCAAATCGCATAATTAGCATGCACTTCGCTGGCAGAGGAGTGCAGTGCTATTGTTCCCGCACAATCAAATTAGCCCCGCCAATGAGGTCAGTGTTCTGTGACCTTAGAGACATTTCATGTATTATTCCCCCCTCCTTGTCACACACATGCACACACACACACATGCAATGTGCACACATTAATACACACTTAAACTGAACCTAAGTTCTGTGGACACTAAAAACGTGTTTTATAGAGACATTTTTGAAGTACACTCCATTGACTCTTTAGTTCACCATGTATGGAATGAGGAATGAGGAAACTAGCTAATGTAGTCTGACCCTGGGGGACACATATGTAATGGAGCTACTTTGACATAAATTCAAGAATCTAGTGAGGCCTGGATCTCACATTATTTGCTCTTACTACATCTGCAGCATCCCACGTGTACTAATGAAGGCTTAATTCAGGTTTCAGGTCTCTTTGTCCTTCTAGTAATCAGAACGACCCAGTTGATGTGTCCACTCCGCCTCCACCCCTCCACACTTTCCTTGAGCATTGTCCATTTCTAGGACCTGAAACTTCTGTCAGAAAGGACAATGTTTTGGGAGTGGCTATGGTCTCTCATAGCTCCAGACTATTCTTAGAGCCAAGGCACCACCCCACAGCGCCACCAACTGTCCGTTTGAGTGCAGCTGTGGCAGGGTCCGGTGCTTTCCTTGCTGGGTGTGACATGTCGGTCTGAAAGCTGGCATCTTCTTTTCATTCTCGGCAACCTGGGGATCTGGGCAGAGCCCTTCGGTGAAACCACTTGAATGACCAGCTTGGAGGCTGTTTCGTTTTCCAGCCTAAAAGTCACTTTCCCATTTGTTCTACACACTTGGTCACGTGTTCAACGCACGTGAGAGGTTAGTTGACACTCTAGGAGTGGCCTGATTTCCATCTTTCGGCTGTACTCTCTCTTAACCGGGAACCATCACCCATGCTTCTGGTCCCCATTCCAGACATTACCTGCTACTGAACTTCCTACTGATTCTTTTAGAGAAACTTCACACCGTATCATATTAAAGCCAAGTTTGGAGTCCTTTAATGAGGATAATGAAGATATTTCATTCTATTTAGAGCTAAATAATTTCAAGTTTTATTCTCCAAATCTGGCCCAAACATGACTCACAATTTACTACTATTAAGATAAGACTCACATGAGCTGAGATTTCATGACATTTTCTGAAACATCTAGTCCAAATTTTAGTGCTAATGAGAAGTCTAGGGAATATTGATTTGTGTAAGAGGGAGGGGTTCTGGCTTGAGGCTATTGTTGGGAGGTGGGGGCTACGTGAGGTGTGGAAAGTTTTGGCTGTATGGTGCAATCAAGAAGCAATGGATTGAATAGGAGATGACTTGGGTCTAGTCCTGGCTTTGAACTTAGCTAAGGCTTTCTTCATTCTTGGCCTTGACGTCTTTATCTACAAAATGACTAGATTTGGCAAGAGGCTCTCTGTGATCCCTTCTAGCAACCCCATTTTTATTTCTAAAACCTGTGTGAAAGCTTTGCCCCAGTCCTTTTGGTTACAGGTACTAATCAACTGCAGGCCTTAGTGTTTGCGCATTACTACTCTGACCAGTGTAACTGATAGTAATGTTGCAGACAGGGAACCTAGACCTTGAAATTCTAACACACACAAGGAAGAGAAGGGTACAAGTGTATCTATTGTTTACAAGACTTCTCCCCCTCCCACCTTCCATGCATACACCTTCTATAATTAAACACTAAGGAAGGGGAGAAGCCAATGAAAGCACCACTGATTTATGTTTAAATAATATGTTCCCAAAGCGTCACTGAGCAGGCAAGTTCATCTTTGAGCCAATTAAATAATTCTAGCTCCAACTTGGCCTCTTCTGTAATTGTTCTATTTTGTGATGCTTGCATTTTAATGGGTGATGTATTTTTACAATTGTACCATGGTGCTCTTGTGCTTCCAAACATATTTTCTTGGGTAAATAAAGGATTTCGATTGACTTCTGTTTTCTGAAGCTGAACTACATGGACATTTTAAGAGAACGAGATTTAGATTGGGGTTTAGTAATACAGGATCCTCCCCAAGAATTTATTTCTACAGTGTATTTCACTTATTAATAAATGTCTTGGCCATTTGTGCTAAATGCATGGATGAAACTTTTTTCTTGTATGGCACAAAGATAATTTCTAAAGGTGTTGATTGTGCAAACACAGGGCCATTTCCCTTCAATGAGAATTAATATTGTCTGTCTATAGAATGCTAGCAGTATTCAGTGTGCCACAAAAGTTCCTGAAAACATTATATTTATAATGATTGTGATAAGCTGTTCCATCCTCCTGATATTTAGCCTTCATGGTAACTTCTTTTTGATGAAAAAATATAGAGAATTATGCACAAAGGAGCAGTTTTTATACTTGTAATGGAAATATTAAAAAGAGATGCATTTTTACAAATTGTCTATCTAATAGAGATTTTACAGCATATGTAAAATATAGAGACTGCATTTGCAGCACTGTATCTGGTGTAAGGGTGTGTGCTGATTTGCATAAAGTGTATATTTTCATATGTGTGCTCTGTGCCCATTATATATATCACATATAAATACAAATCATGGTACCCAAAGTCTCAGGGGGTCCCCCCCCACCTTAGTCATCCAGTGCAAACCATGAAAGTCCCCTAACAAACAGGATTGAAATTCACTCCTTTCAACCATCCCAGGCATTTATTCCTTCCTTTTCATTGAGCTACATTTGTCTGATTTAACAAGAT